TTATATAGTATAGTATTAGCTGTGTACTTACCTGTATCGTTGCGTTCTTCCTACTTTTTGGAGCGCCAGAACTGGCCCCATGCAACAAAGAAGCGCTGATCAGGAGTCCAACCGTCAATGACTCGGTCTGCCTCGGGATGCGACTTAAGAGCAGTTCGCATACCCTGGTAAGCGCATTTCAGTCCACCTGCAGAAGTAGCGGTGCAATGGGATGTGTGAGATGGGTACGGTGACAACAGGTGGTATGGATACAATAACATAATATATTCTGGTAGAAGTAGCCGTGCAATGGGTAGTGACAGATGACCCACGAGTATAGCAGGGGATGGTAACAATCACGTGTATTTAATACACGTACAGATTCGACATGTCGCCTTTCAGCCCACACACACAGCTTTCATAATCTCTTACATGCATGGACCCGATGGACAAACATATTAACATACGCACACGTCTATATATGTTAACAGCCCCCTCGCACAATACACTAATAACCTTTTTGGATTGACACTTACGTATACGCACCAATATCTGCGATATTCTCGCCCGTTTAAATTTTAACGCCTTTGTATAAACGGACCAATATATCCATTATACTCCCCTGTACAAACTTAAACGCATTTGTATAGACATCCGATATCTGCGACATACTCGCCTGTGCAAATTCCAAAGTTTTTGTATACGTACTGATATCTGTGACATTCTTCCTTGCTTAGATTTTAACGCTTTTGAACAGACGTACCGATATCTGCGATATTCTCGCCAAGCGTTAGATCACCCCTGACAAAGTGGCCCGGCAGTATCTCAATGGCATTGTACTGGTCCACGATGTTCTTCGTCAAGGCGTTGTAGCTGCGTAGTAGTATATGTTTCACTCGTGTTTAGTGCATCTAGCTGATAAAACCACTTCTTGCTTATAAGACGACAAATGGACTATATGTTAACACATGTACAACCTCGCATATTGAAAATTTACTGCGCATGCCCACGCATACGCAGGAAGGCATGCATTGACACCCTCGATATATCTTTTATGACCCGGTAACGTACCCATACATATCACAAAGCCAAAGCTGTTTGGTTCTATCATCGCTTTTCATTGTTGACAATACCGCCAATATGGTAAATACATCGGTATATGTTATTTATTTATATATATATATATATATATATATACTCGTAGAAATATATCATACTCGCGCGTGTCTGTATGCTATCATCCATACACACTAAA